GAACTGCACTAGTCAGAGCAGCTTGGCACCTAACTCCAACCTGAACCAAATCAGAATCCAGGAACTAGGAATTTCTCTACCTGAGGGGTCAAATCCAGTATGTGCACTCAAAGTATATCTAATGTTTACCTATGGGAGTTGAGTCCTCACAAAATGCAATTGCAGTCTGTTTTTCTTGGAGCAACAAGGGTTGCAATGCCTTTTAGATAATAGGGAAGTGGTCAGAGCATTCATCTTGGAAGTGGAAAACTTCATTTCCATGGCCCTCAGCCTCAGCGGGTTCTGTTTCTGTACAAAGTATTGCTATATCCATATTGCCACATGGTATTGCCTGGTGCCATATAGAGTTGGTCTAATTGTGATTGTTCAGAAACAGATTTTTAAAAGAAAAATATAGGTGTACTCTCCCAGTGGACATAGTCAGATGACTTACCCTGGGAACAGGCACAACTATATACTGGTAGACAGGGGTGGATCCAGAAGGGGCAGGGGGTGCAGTGGTGCAGGTGCCACCTCCTCCCCCCACACACAGGAGCCTTCAGACTGGCCCACACCACAGGAGCCTCTGGGAATATTTTTGAATCCCCCCCATACTCAAAAGCACATCCCTTCCTTCCCTTTCCTCCCCTTCCTCCCTCCTCTGTTCACCACTGCTGCTTTCCTTGCCATCCTGGGGCTTCAAAGCCACTCCTTCCTGCTCCAGTTGAGCTGTGTAGGGGCCAGGCTTAGCAGGGACAGCAAAAGCAGCAGTGGCAGAGGTTATGGAGGTGGTTCCCATCCCTGTGCCTGCTCCTGGAGTATTGGACAGGGGAGGGGAATCCCACTACTCTATTGCCACTGTCACTGTCCCTGCACAGGCTGGCTGGACAGGTAGGAGTGGCTCTAAAGCTTCCCCCATCTCCAGACAGCAGGTAAACCAGCAGTGGTGAGCAGGGAAGGGAAAGGATGTACCTCTGAGCACAGATGGGAGCAGAAGGATTTTTAGATGCTCTGAGGACTTTATAAAGACCCTGGAGGCTCCCATGGCATGGTCTGCCTACACCAGTATGAGGGGAAGGAGGCTTGAAGCAGAGTGCAGCCAGCCCTGCAGTGCAGGTTACTGCTCCCTCACCCCTTTTTGCCAAATTCTGGATCCACCCCTGCTGGTAGATTCCATATGGGAGTGAGAAAAGCACTGCTATCTACTAATTTGGATACGAAAAAATAAATGAAGTTTTCAAAGACTCTGAAATCTAATTTACTGCTAACTGACAAAATAAGTAAAGGCACAGAAATGCAAAGATGGGGACTTTAGTTATGATAGGTTATTTCTGGTGCAATAATTATTCTTTCCTTCACTAAGACCTGATGAGAGAAGCTCTTACAACAGCATTATGAGAGAGGCTACAGCGAAAGAAAAAAATCGATATGGCAATCAAACAAGTTTTCTAAGGTCTCAAGGCTATTGTGCTAATACACAAAGTGAAATTGCTTTTTAAAATGCAATTCTATTTAACTCCTTTGCCCAAGATAAAGTATAAATGGCAACATAAATATAATGCTCTTTTATGAGGTACCAATCTGTATCTATTCTTGTGGATTCAAATAAAGGATTGAGTATTGACCGTGACATTCTGAATGTGCACATTCTGCTGTGAAGTTTCTTGGGGATAGTGTGTTCCATTGGAAGATGGAAAATCTGCTTAGGTCTCTTTGGCTCAGACACTTCTGCTTCTGTTTTTCAGGGAACTGCCAAATGCTTTAGTATATTGAGATACATTTTATAGTGGGATATCACTAAACCTTGGGTCTGGTAATCTCCAAAGCTCAAAGGAAGGATGTCAAGTGTGAAAAATGACCCAAAGAAAATTACATATTCATGGATGAGCCCTAAAATGCTGTCAGATTCATTCGTTTGGTATAAGCAATACTTTTGATAATTCAAGCCTCATGATTCTTTTCATTTCCTCCTGTAGTAATTCATATCAACAGAAGAGAAGGGTAAGTAATTTGTTTGTAAACAATGTAAGTAAATTTGGGAGTAAAATGAGTGGCATCCCTTGAAATGAAGGGCACTTGAGACATATGGTTGAATGAAGCAGAAGTCTGACTGCCATATGTTACAACTAGCTAAAGCCAAAATCTGCTTTTCTTTAAACTATGCAAACCTATTAACTCCACCAACTTCATGTTGATGAGAGGAGAATCTCATCTTAAGTGCAGCTCCCAGAAAAGTAACCATGCCAAAGGAATCCATTTTATAGTGTCTCAGTGATTCCATATCACTTTTAAAAAATGGCTCTCTTTCTCTTATGAAGAATAGGAGTCATTCAGCAAAAGAAAACCCCCAAACACACAATATTTCAGTATTGCTTATCCTCCAAATGTAATCTTTGTTGGAATTAATCTAGCAGCTCACAACCCTCCCCAGTCAAATTATGCCTTCATCTGCCTCTTTACAAACGTATGCTCCTGATTATGCAGCACTATAAACTATGGCATTCTAAGCAGCAGGATAGTCTAAAATACTGGGAAATTTAAGTATCTACTTGCAGCTATTAAGTACCTAGATATAACTGTTAATCCAAAGTACATAATCAACTTTCTTTAAGCAGTAATAAGACAGCTTTATGTTCCAGAAAGCATTGATACCAACTAAAGCAGAACTCACTCACTCACTCACTCACTATCAGTTGAGGAATTAATACGTATTGAGAACACCTCCCACTCTGCTCATTAAGTGGGAAACTTGACTGGATTGCAGGTGAGGAACAGCTTGAAGAAGAAGGGAAGGAGATCACCCTGGGTAATAAAAGTCAGGTCTGTTCCCTGTCACTGGCCAGTAGAAATGAATGAGGAGATGATTGACTGTGTACTCCCCCCACCCCATCTCTCAACAATTTGAACACTTGCTCGGGAGTTTAGAGCCTGTTGCTCTTAAGGACTGTTCAAAACCTATCCCTATGTCAATCTTCAATCACCAGCTGCACACATGGATCAATACCTGTGGAGATTGAAATCTGATACTTTGAGTGATTTAACTTTATCATAGGAAAGAATTTACATTGTTTAATAATACAACAGAAATAGATTTGGGGGAACTGAGAAACCTGAGTGCTGCATGAAAGGAAGTATTAAAAATCCACTAATATGGAAGAGGGCTGGGGAGTGCTAAAAACCACTTTAACTAAAGCACAATATTATTATTAGTAGTAGTATTAGTATTAGTTTGACTGCACCTGAGAGTATGATAAACCATTCACAGTAGAAATATGGAAGCAAGGTTCTTGGCTTGAACTGCTTACAGTATAATTTCAGATATGTCACAATGAAAGGAATCACCAAAAATAAAGGGATGGCTGGGTATGGAGAGATATGTCTTACAGAAATAAGATTATGCAGTTACTTAGCAAAAGCCTGTGCATAGCATGGTGGAGTAAAATAATGGCATATAAATAAACTGATTTAATAAAGGAACAGACTGTCTTTTCTTTGGAAAAGTGGAAAGCGAGATGCAGAAATTGTCTAGGATTGCACAGAAAATTAGGGTTGGAAGGGAAATCAGCTAGTCTAACCCCCTGCTCAAAGCAGGATCAGCCCCAACTAGATCATCTCAGCCAAGACTTTGTCAAGTCAGATCTTAAAAACCTTCCAGGATGGAGATTCCAAAACCTCTCTGGGTAACCTGTTCCAGTGTTGTACTACCCTCCTAGTAGAAAGTTTTTTCTGATATCTAACCTAGACTTACCTGCATCATATGGAACTGCTCAGAGACCTGAGGGTAAAACATGAATATGAATTGGACATGAAAGAAAGAATACAATGAAATAAGAACAGTCAGGGAAGAAGTGCAGGGGAAAGACATTGGCCCCAAAATTAAAATGGATAGATCTTATATGTATGATGGTTGGAACTTAAAAAAATAATCCCTATTGGTTAGGATAGAGCATTACAATGTAAACTAAAAATTAACTAAAAAATCATGGATGAAAAAGGATAAATGACAATGGACACAGTTGCTGGGAGGGTCTAGGAGAACGTTAGGACCAATTGTATTTATCATCATCATTAATACTGGCCTGAGTTCTGCTCTAAGAAGAAATTCATTTTCACTTCACTGCATCACTTTACACCCTTTATTGTGAGCACAGGAGGTGAACAAACAATCACAGTTCTTTATAAACGGATAGCAACAGAATGTAACTGACCCCTTTAAAGGGTACATGCTTGGATACATGCAGAATCTTATTGCTGTATGCTTTGTCCTTCCTCTCCATTGGTTTTTTTTTGACACTGATCAATTGCAGTGGCAAAATAATTTGCAGTGGTGAGGGAATATTTAGTCCCACTCCAGCCCCTCTATTTCAATAAGTATAGGAGTACCATACCTAGGAATAGGAATTTTACTGTAGGATTAGGTCAAAGAGCCAGTAAAACTGTTCAAAAAACCCAGATCCAGATGGAAGAAAATTTAACACACAGAAACTGAAGACAGCCAGCAACTATCAACTAAAGATGCTTGGCAAAGATTAAGGCTGGAGCAGTGCACCATGTAGTATTGAAAAGATTTTAGGTAGTACTGCTGTTCATACATGGGCATAAATGAGACAGCCCCTCAGGACTGCTAGAGCCCACTTTGACCCTGAAATAGCTCAGAATCAGATGATTCTGAAAGCTACATGACTTCTCTCTTTTTCTCTTAGAAGCACAGCACAAACTGTCAGCCATCTAGTCTAAAACTTGTTCCTTCCTGATCCTGCAGCTGGCTAGGCAGACAGATGCCCCCATTAACATCAGTGGAGTTCCTTATTTGCAACAGGGGTGGCCCATATCATCAACTGCAGCACTCAGGTATGTGACTGTAAGCTCCTTAGGGGAGGAAATGTTTTTTTCTGTTGGTTTTATGAAGTATGTAATATGCTTCTGTAAAATTATTGCATAAAAATAATTGTCATAACTTCACACTCATCATAAAATATTTACATCAAATATGTACAACAAAATTTCTGAAGTGTTCTTACTTTCTTCAGACAGATCATTTTCTTCTGCTTCTCTCTCCATCTCTTTACACCATCCTTCCATCCTCTTAGTTTCAGTGTGTAGCAACTTCATAAACCAAGACCCATCTCGTCGACAAGGGGACATTCGACCAGTTTCTACTGTTTCAATGGCTGGCTCCAGCCAGGGTTCTGGTGGTGGAAGATTTGAGGTGTCAGCTGGGGTCCTATAATCTTCTCTGTAACTGAACAGTCCCTGTGTCCGTACAGTTCTTACTGCACTGTATTGGGTAGGAGTGCTAGGTTCTGAATGCTGCTGGAATGATGAACCAAACTGAAGTCCTTTGTCCTCCATTGTTATGTGTCCAGGAAAACCCTCCAGTTCTAGATCAGCCTGTACAGCTGCTGTTACACTATTTGAGCGCTTAAACCGTCCATGTCTTAGGTAAGGGGAAAAAGAAAGGGGGAAAAATATATGAGAGTCTTATGTGTTGGCAAAAGACAAAGTTTTTCTTTTAATCTGATACTAGATAATAGTTATGCAGATGATTTTTCAACTATTCTTTCCACTCTTCAAATGCTTAAGTTACTTAGAAATAAGACAGCAAGTGAAAAAAAGAGAAAAAAAGAGAAGGAAAGGGGTTGGGGGGAAGCATGTAAATAGAATATATGTAGGTATATGGTGTCATTATTGATCTGAACAAAAATATAAATGAAAATCATTTAAACCACCTTTGGAAGCACATATTGATCCGTTCTCACATTACAAAATATGGCACATCATCAATAAATGAACTGGAAATATCAGGTAGGACTTGCAGTGCTGCATTTATTGTTGAAATGCAGAAAAAAGCCAAATATACTTAGACAACCTTTTCAGAAACAGTCAAAGATAGTCTGAGGTAAGGCTGTGTAGAATTTTGTAATTGGTGGAAAATAACGGGAGGAGGTTTAATATTTTTTACAAACTGTATAGAAAAATTCTCATGACGATTTTCTCTTGGATATTGATAGATTGGAGCAGATTTATGTTTAAAAAGTTGGATCAGGGACAATGGATTGCTTAAGAAATCTATATGTCTTAAGCAATAGTTAGGGCAATTGTTCAACAGCTAGGTTAACTGTTCAAATTTGACTCAAGTCAATAGGGACCAAAGGTGATTAGCAAGCACAGACTGTTTGATCTCTCTGAATCAAGATAATGGTCTTTCTCTAGGGTTTAATGGGCAACTGTATGTATCACTCTGAGATTAGAACACTTATCAGGAGTTTTAGCAGACCAGACAAAGATTGACAAAGAATGGAAACTAGCTCCTAGATGTAGATGTACCAGACCCTCTAAGTTAGGACTGAAGTACTGCGGACTAGGCATTATTCTGCAAAGGGATTGTAAAGGCATGAAAATTTAGCCTTAGGGGTCCCATTGCATTAGCGACACTTTTAGTGCATAAGGCAGTGGTTCTTCATCCACATTTTGTGAACCTCAAAAACTAATTGACTACAATGCTCACCTCTTAGTACAAGGGTTGAGCAGTGGAGGGAAAAGAGGAGTGGCTGAGAAGGAAGGAGCCTACATTTACATCCTTGGCAGGGTAGGGGTGAGCCTGCCCTTATTGCCTCAGGCAGGGCCTGGGCAGTGAGATGTGGGGGGAAAGGGAGGAAGAAGAGCAGCCATGGCACCCTTCAAAGTTGCTCCTGGCCCCCAAGGTACTGCAGCACTTTGGTGGATAATCACTGGCATAGAGGCGTGCACCTCTGCTGTGAATACATGGAATCTGTTTATCTTCTTATCAATTTGGAGCACTAAACTAACCCTGAAACATATTTTCTACCTATCAAATTTAACACTAGAAACTTTGTCTAGATATTTAGGGACCATCTCTAAAATATTAGCAATGGACTAACACGGGCTTTGTGAATTATTCATAGAACACACTCTCCAGATTATTTGAATTTTGTTATAAATATGTCTTGTCTCCTGAAAGACTGCACATTTTTTGCCTGAATTACCGTTTTTCATCTTCCACTTGGACTCCAACAGAGTGGTATTCTCGTAGGCCTCTGCTCTCAGTATCTGAATCAGTTGCCGTTTCCACCTAATTCAACACAAAAGATACATCTGCAGAAGTGAACATTGACAATTCAACATTATTTCTCTCTGTATTCATTTCAATTAATTATGTATTTCCTTAATAAGTTCTAAGAAACAACTAACCTAGTAAAATAATTTAAATAAGCATGCAATCTGATATAATTGTTTGGTTCTCTGTACTACAAAATGGTTCATAATTACTTTATTGCTGCTCTATAATTCCTTCTTTTAAATGTACGTAGATATAATTACTCAGTTCAATGCAGGCAGGAAATAAGCCTGGCTTAACTGTTCTATTCTTAGAGCTAGGAATCCACGGGGTTGCACCTTTATATATTAGTACAAAATGGCCTCATTATATGGCAGGATGATTTACAAAATAACAATGAAAGTAGCCCCATAAAATTTGCAAGTGATAAAAATAAATGTTGCAATGAAATTCTGTGGAAAATTGTGTTGATGAATATAGAAGCATTTAAGTGGCACAGAGGAGATAGCAAAATGCCACAGCTCACCCTTTTTTAATATAATAATCCTGAAAATGCTATATCAAATAAGTAATTCAGGCTTTTATGTGGTATTTCTATCTGAAACATGTTTACCAAAATACATTTGCAGTAAAGCTTTTACCCTAATTCTACAAGTTCCTGCAGGATCTTATATACCCATTACTACCACAGTACTTTTTAACACGCACACAAATGTAGAAACATGAATATTGGAGTAAATCAAAGAAGAGTCAAGGAAAAAAACAGTCATAATAGAATGCCTTTTCTCTTTGCCTGTTATGCCAAAAGAAGTGTTTTCACGCATCAATATAATTTATGTAACAAAGATACTCCTATAATTAAGTGGTGGCAGAAATAAATTGATCATTTAAAATGTGGTTGTGGTCTATAAAGTTAACTAGGAGGGAGAAAGAGTCTATATGTAACATTTTTAATTAAATTGTTTATTACATGTGTTCAGGATAATATACCAGTTAGTTATGAAAGTGTTATTTTTTAAAAGGCAGACTGCAAAAAATGCTGTAAACAATTCATGCCCAAACTACAATCATCCAATTCATTTCATAGATTTCATAGACATTTGGGCTGGAAGGGACCCCGAAGGATCATCAAGTCCAGCCCCCAGCCCCAGGGGCAGGAAGTCAGCAGGGATCATAGGATCCCAGCAAGATAAGTATCCAAATGTGTCTTGAAGGTATTCAAAGTGGGTGTTCGACCCGCCTCCAGCAGCAATCTATTCCAAACCTTGGGGGCTCGGACAATGAAGAAGTTCTTCCTTATGTCCAGCCTGAATCGGTCATGGCAGAGTTTGTGACCGTTCGACCTTGTCATCCCTTGGGGCACTCTGGTGAGCAGATGTTCCCCCAAATCCTGATAAGCACCCCTGATAAACTTGTAGGTGGCCACCAAATCACCCCTGAGCCTGCGCTTTTCCGGGCTGAAGAGTCCCATGGCTCTCAGCGTCTCATCATAAGGTTTGTTTTCCTGACCTCGGATCATGCGTTTGGCTCTCCTCTGCACCCTCTCAAGCTTCTCCACATCCTTTTTGAATTGTGGAGCCCAAAACTGGACACAGTGCTCCAGCTGCGGCTTCACGAAGGCCGAGTACAAGGGGAGAATGACGTTCTGGGATTTGCTTGAGAAGCATCTATAGATGCAAGCCAGCATTTTGCTTGCTTTACAAGCCGCAGCATCACACTGAAGGCTCATGTTCATCTTGTGGTCAATCATGACCCCCAAGTCCCTTTCATCTGTAGTGCTACCCAGCATAGCACTACTGAGCCTATAAGCATGCTGCAGGTTTTTCCTCCCAAGGTGGAGAACCTTGCATTTTTCGGTGTTAAACACCATCAGGTTCTCATCCACACATTTCATGAGCCTGTCAAGATCTGCCTGGATCTCCCTCCTGTCCTCATGTGTGGATGCTTTACCCCAGAGTTTGCTGTCATCGGCAAACTTGGCCAGTCTGCTTCTGACACCAATATCCACATCATTGATGAAGATGTTAAATAGTATAGGCCCTAGGACAGAGCCTTGAGAAACCCCACAGTTCACAGCGCACCAAGACGATTGGCTCCTGTCGACCACCACCCTCTGGGTCCTACCATGGAGCCAATTCCCCAGCCAGCGGATTGTGGTGAGGTTGAGGCCACAGTTGGCCAGTTTAGCTTAGTATTCCTCCTTTCTAAGCTGACAGTTTCACTAACAACATATGTTGTTCTTATTTGTTAAGCCAGGGGTTTGCAACCTTTTAAAATAAGTGTACCCCTGGTGGCCTCCTTTTTAGTAAGTGTACCCCTGGGGGGGGAGATGAGCAGCTGGACGCAGAGCGGGGGCATGGGGAGCCCTGCCTGCTCTCGCCCTGCCCCAGCCCTGCTCCTGTGGGGCAGTGGCATGGGATGGTGGCACTCCATCCCCACCCACCACGGCGTACCCCCCTGGAACCTTTCAAAGTACCCCCAGGGGTAGTGTACCCCTGCTTGACAACCCTGTGTTAAGCAATGAAACAATAGGTATATATAGCATTTTTCAAGTATATGTAAAGAAATCCTTTTTCCTAAGAGTTTGCTGTTTTATTTAGATGGAGACAATACATTTAATCAAGGATTTTTGTGAGGATCAAAGGCCAAAATATTTCCACATAAGATGTACGTAAAATTCTTTTGCAGCTCAACATACCAAGAAGCTATGACAAAGTGATCAAAATTGACTTTTTGCAAGTATAGAAACCTAGAATAATGTCACTGACATTACCAGAGTTTTTCACAGGCCCTTTATTGCCAGTGCACTGAAACAGTGCTTTGAGGACTGCCAATCAATGGAATATTAAATTGTAAGTCATTATAAATATTGAAAAGGAAGAAACATTTCCCAGTAAGCCTCTGTGATGTATGTAACAGAAATATAACAGAATCAAGCTATTCTCCTTTTGCCTGCATGTTGGGTACATTTATGAACTGTCTTGTTTTGCCATTTTTATTTTTAATATCTCCAGATTTTTCAATCTTGCATGAAAGTGAATTCATTTGCTTCCAAGGTACTGCACCCCCTTTCTGGGATGCTATGAATAGCTCTGTGGATCCAACCAGTGTGATTCTAGACACAGCCTAGAAGAAATCTTCAGACCCAAAGATTTCTCTATAGGTCATTATAGAGGAGCCCTGGGCAGCTGCCTTTATAGTCTAGGAGGCCCCTTTGCACATTGCTGAGCACTGAAAGTCACTGTTTGCTGGCAGGTACCAGGTGCCGAAAGAAAGCTGCTTCCCTGCCCTGTTATTACTCACCAGTGTAATCACTACTGTGAGATCCTGGGCCTGAAGACCCAGGAGGCCATGATGAAGCCAGCAATGTCCAAGGGCAGCAAAGTCAGTGGCCCAGTCCAAAGGTTTCTCTATGGGTCCTAAGATTTCTTCTAGACAGTGCCTAGCATCACAGTAGTTGGACCAGGAAGTAGGACTAAGTCTTCTCTCCCATTAGACCTGTTTTGATAACTCATAGGAAGTAACAAAGATCTGGGCATAGCCTTGGAATAGGACAAACCTAATAAAGAGGCATGATTCAATGCCTTAGATCTATCCAGGCAAAATTATTTTTATGACCCCTATAAGCTCATATCTTTCCACCAACTGATTTTGGAATGATTCCGTAACATCTCCATAAAAAAGACCTTTCTAAGGTTTCTTCTCCATCTCCATAGTTGCTTCTGCTAGAAGGAAAACTTGGATGATTTGCCCAATATGTAACTGACAAAGGAATCTGTTTATTAGAGGAATAAATGTAGTTGATCCTCACTGAATATTTATACTATTCAAAACAGTTATTAAGAAAATTACAGTCTAGGGGCATGTGTAGATGAAATGGAGCCCTAAATTGAAGTGGTGGACTTTAAAAAACACCACTTCAATTTAGGGCTGATTAAACCCCCATGTGGTGCACACACCCTGCCCCCCAGGTGGTCCACCCCCCCTGCTGACTTACCTGCCTCTCTGGCAGGGAGGGGAGGGTGAGCTGCCGGTGGGTGGAGCGGTCCCTGGGCTGGGGGGGCGGGGCTGGTGCTCCCATCCGCAGCAGCTGCAGCCTCCCCCCCGCTCCCCCGAAGTAGCACCCGCCTGCAGGCACCCAGCTTGGGCAGTCCCAGGGGGCACTACAGATGCAGAGGGAAACATTGGACCCCTGTGCAGCTCAGGCAGGCAGGCAGGCTCCACGGGGGGTTGGGGGGTGGGATCAGGCTCTCTGCTTTTCTTGGGTGCAGCTGCTTTCCCAGGCTACTGCCAGGCTACCTGCAGGGCTTCCTGCAGAGTTGCAGATCTGCACAGAGCCTGGTGCTTCGCTCCGTGGCTGTAGGGGCAGCAAACTAAAGCTCCTCAAAGTAGTTTTAGTTTGCTGCACCCCAAGTCATTTAAGACGCATTACGCTGCTGAATTTCATACAGCTGCTGGAATTAATGCGCAATACGCTGCCGAGGTGTGCAAACACCAACACCATTAAAGTGGTGTGAAAGCATTTAGCTCACTTTAAAGTGTTGTGCACACGTGCCTCTCCTTTCATCTACACACTGCCTAGGTGTCAAAATGGCACTGGCTCTAGTTACCCCTAAAGAGAAACTCTAGCCAAACTATCCTTCTTTCAGCCTGGCAAGCTGACACTACCTAAATGACCTGATGATTGCATTCACATTTTGATACCTTCTATTTGTTTACTATTGTTTGCTGAATTCAAGTGCCCTACAGCAGGAGTACAATGCCAAATAAGGATTTTGATGCATTTTGTGAGAGCAAATATTGTAACATCTGATAGACAATAACCTGGGAAATAAAGGCTAATGGCAAAATAAGTAAAACCAGGAAAACAACAAGGCAACAGTGTTTTCAAATGACAGAGTTTAAGAAAACCTGTTGGAAATGACTTGGAGGAATCTTGTGAGAGGTAAGGATTTCTTAGTGCGATGTCTTTTATTGGACTAACTGTATAGTTGAGATAGAGTTAGGTGAACTTG